GATATTCTAAAATAACCCCTACCCCCCACTTAAGATAAGAGCAGCTACCCTACCCTACTTCAGACTGTTCACGGCCCGCGCTACAAGTTTCCGCCACCCGCTCCCCTCCACCGTTTCCCCAATCTCCTCCTCTCCCTCCCTCCCTTGCTCTAGGATCGACTCGACCACTCGAAATTGAGGTAGCCTCCTCTCTTGGATACTCACTGCCTCCCTCGTTCCTCCTGTTCCCCTCCTCCTCCCATTGCCTGTTGTATCCGTCCAAATTCGTTACTTCCTTCACTCGCCCATCCACCCCTTCTCTCAGCCCTTCCCCATCCCCATTTGGAAGTGCCCGTTGCTCTCCACAACTTTGGCAGCCTCTGAACGCATTCTCATCATTGCCGTGAACTTTGATCTATCTGCGATTCATCATCCTCTCTCCCTCTCGCGGCTCTCATCGCGCGAACGAACTTCCGTGGTTTGGCCACAACACATGTTGATTTCCGAACGTGCCCCGCTAACTTGGACTCCCTGCTCTCCGCCTCACGCAAAACTTCCATCAAATCCCATCTCTCCATCATGATCTAATCCTCGAGCTAGTTTCACACCATTTGACCTCCCCCCCATTCCTCGCCTGCTGATTCCTTGCTCAACTGAGCTGGGGCCCTAAACCCCTCCGCACATTACGATCCTGACTGTTGGATTTCAGAAGACATGAACATCTGAACAGGACCGGAACAGCAGGAAGAGGAGCATCAAGCATGGCAAGCGTTCAAGTTTTCCCCCGGAGGAAGAAGAGCGGGATGGAGCGAGGCGAAGCGTTAAACCTGACTCACTCAGACATTTTAAGTCTCATGCACATGAGGCAGGAGGAGGCGGCAAAGAAGCTGGTACCTGCCTCCTCCTTTCACACCTCCCTGCCTCACTGACTCTGTGAACCCGCAGGGCATATCAGTGACGGCTCTGAGGAGTGCAAGTAAGAAGCTGGGCATCCACAAGTGGCCATACTCGCGAAGCTCTGGCGACGATTCGAGTCACGAGGTCGCCGAGTCGGACAGTGGCGGCCCCTCAACATCTGCTCCTTCCTCCATGAACGCTGCACCATCGATCTTCACGCCCGCCATGACGATCCTGTCACCGGCAGCGTCGCAAGACAGCGCAAGCTACCATCAACCCATGGCGGTGTGCGACTGGCCTTCTACAACAGCAGACGTGGATAGTCCTAGTGTCTCGGAGGTCAACCATGAGGCTAGTTATGGACTTCATCCTAACTTGTGCCTTGACGACGAGGGAGGTCACCTGTCCCCTCGCTACATCAACTGGTTCGTTCAGATGTCGGACGGGGAGAGCGAGGAGTTCTCGTTCTACTTGCGGCAGGAGGCGTCAATGATGACTTGATGAGAGTTCATGTTTTTTCTGCAAGTTGTTCGCTCGAGGTTGTCGATGGACGTTGACATGCGACGGGCGACTCAGAGGTGGACTGATAGTCCTCATCGAGGATTTTGGCCTGGGGTCAACCTGTACACTACATGCGCAGTCAATTAAGGTGTGAAACATTTTCTCCCTCGATTCCAGTCGGCTGGGCGAGCAATCGGATGCTACCTGTTAGCGACATCATCAGGATTGTACTTGAAACCACTGGTACGAAAGTTTCAAGCACAAGACGAATGTACTGCGGAGCGAAAGTAACCTTTACAAAGGAACTAGAAAATAAAGGCAGCAAACGACTGCGGATGCCAACCCAGGCAAACGTCGGCAGTTCAATCCTTTACCCTTCAACCAGCGGGGATGTAATGCATATGCCTGAAAAGGACTGGACAAAGAAACGTTTCGCAGTCTAGCCAGAATTCTCAAGCTTCTTCACCACCTTCCTCAGTCTTGGGCGCTTTTCCCCCGACATTGAGGATGTGGACGTCAAAGAATGTGCACGAGTCCGCTGGTACACTTGAAGGTGTTGCCGGTGATATGACGAGTTAGTGCAGTGTTGCGTTTTATTTGACATCCAATACAAAGTATACTGATTACACACCATGCGGTCTCATGGCTGTTAGGAAGAGAGCAGATGTCATCAGGTACTTGTCAGTCGGAACAGAAACCCTTCCGAAGACTCAAGTAGAACTGCAACGGGTGACTGTGAACCAGCAAGCGTCGTGCGGCAGCTCAGGTACGCAACTCGCTTCTCGACGGCACTCTTCCATGAGAGGAGGGACAACAAGACAGATGTAAGAGATTTTCAACTCACCGCAGGGATTGTCTCCAGAGCGTCAGAAGCCCTCGCCGGGTTTGCGGTTGCTCCATGCGATGACAGCGACATGGCATAATGCTGTCTACTCTTGCTCATCGCAACTACTCTCTTGCCCTCGCCTCTGCTATGCGCAGGCTATGATGGAGCGGGAAAAGAGAAGGAATTGACTGTCTAGGAAGCTGATGATAACAAGGGAGTTGAGAG